TGATGTGTTGTGTAGGCTGCACGTTGCCGGTACATATTTAAAATATTTCATTCAATACCCGGTACGGTATTTTAAAATACCAAAGCCACCAATAATACTCAATAGGCAATACATGTAGTTTTACATCTGACTGTCATAAAATTTTGTAAATGTATATGATAGCCTAATATTGCTGTGATATTTAAGCAAAACTTTATTAATATAACCAAATAATAAACTGGATCTTAGTAAAGCATCTAAAGAATGGGCTAATGTAAAGCAAATTAAGATTTGGCAAATAAAAATTCCATTTGGCCATAAAATATATAAACAATTTTGCATGTGAAAGTGATAGCTATAAATTGCTATATCCTATGTTTACAACATTATGCTGCTGACATTTTATTGTTGTTGAAATGAGTTAGTGCATATTGCTTTAAGCGCTGGACGCAGTAGCCGAATGATTCTGCCGAATGAATCCGCGCTTAATGATTCGCGAATCAAACATGTTTGATATATTCACCCGAATTATACTTAATCACCAATCATATTGAGAAGTCACGTGATTGTTTGAAGACATGGTCGCTGCCATGTTTAATCATGCGATGTCAAAGGTGATGCAATCGACTAGTGAATCAGGTGGGAGTATGCCCACTTATTTGGCCGAATGATTCGGCTAGTGTATCCACGACAGACCTTGTGATTTCATGTGCACACATTAAGCACAAGACCATTCAACCCCCACATTGAAAAAATGAAATGAAATGGGGTTTAACGTCCTACTGTTCTTCTCCTATGCTGGGCTAATGAAGACGGGCATACGCCATACAGTGTGCTATGAGGGAAATTTTGCCCGGGCAGCGGCACTATCGCCTACTCTTATATCGAATTCCGACTGCCAAGGGATCTTTTACGTGCATTCTAATGTATACACGGGACCTCAGTTTTTCGTCTCATCCGAAGGACTAGACAGCAGTCCTTGACAGGCCCTCCGTCTTGCATCACTGGCAAGGGGGAATCACGCCCGAAAATCTTAATGAACTTTCTCGGCCAATGCAGGGATCGAACAACCGACCTCCAGGCTAGCGAGCCAGCGTCTTACCCACTTAGCCACGTGACCCCCTCCCACATTGAAAAGAAAAGACACAAGCAAAGAACTAAATGTTAGCGCAGAAGTTACCCGGTTTGTGTTGAGTGGACATTAAACCCCATTTTTCTCACTATCTCATATACAAACACAAAATGTGCAGTGTGCTGTGGGAAATTTTACCTTGACAGCTGCCATATGACCTACTTTTATATCAAATTAAAACTGCCATGGATTCTTTTACATGCTGGTTTTGATTCGGCAGTTGTACGTGACAAGGAATAGGGTCACCTGTCCATCCTCGTGGGTTTTCTCCGGGTCCTATGGTTTCCTCCCACTGCTAAAGACCCCTACACGCAAGTGAATTATTGAAATAAAATTATACCATATGAAAGGCCCCAAATGACCTAGTTTGTGTCGAGTGGACATTAAACCCCATTTCTCTCTCTCTCTCGGTCAGACAATTTGGGAGAATGCACACACAGCGGTGCTATATGAACAACTAGATGCTGTTTCTTGCCAGGACCCTTATCCGACACCACTGTAAATGGTAAATTATTCCGGAAATCCTGAGTAATTTTGTTGTCATGCCGGGATCCAGCCTGGGATAATTGAAGCATTTATTCTTAACAAAAAAGAATTACTTATGCTCTTATTATCAAAAAACGTTCGAAAAAGACACCCATTACATATGCCATACAGTGTGCAATGAGGCACTAAGGCCTTACATGTATCTTATTTCAAAATCCACCTGTCCAACTTTTACATACACGCCAATGTGCATGTGTGATGTCGGTTTTTTTTTGTTGTGCCATCCGCACGACTATACAACTGTTTCCTCCTGGTCCCTATGGTTTTCTCCCACTACAAAAGACCCCTACAGCCAAATAATTGAAAAAAAATTGATCCATGTGTTAGTCCTGCTATGGCGTAGTTTGTGTAGAGTGGACATTAAACTTCATTTCTCTCTCTTCTTGCCAGGCCCTATGTCCTGCACCACTGGAAAGGGGGAACCAAGGCGTAAAATCTAGAAGAGCTTTCCTGGGCAATGACAGGATCGAACACGGGACGACTCGGATAGTGTGCCAACGTCTCACTCACTGAGGGGGGGGTGGATGACCGAATGGGTAGCACGTGCTCGCTGTATTATAAAGTCTGTCATTGAGTCAACTGGCGTGGTTTCGATTCCCCGGTTGTACGTGACAAGGAGTAGGGTCGCCTGTCCAACATTGTGGGTTTTCTCCGGGTCCTCCGGTTTCCTCCCACTGCTAAAGACCCCTAAGCGGAAGCCAATTATTGAAATAAAATTGAACCATATGTTAGTATGAAATGACCTAGTTTGTGTCGAGTGGACATTAAACCCCATTTCTCTCTCTCTCACTGAGGCACAGTGTCTCCCAATATCAAGCAAGAATTTTCTTTGATCTGACAAGCTGGATTATATTCAATATACATGTAAGAACCAGAATTGTTTTAATTTGAGACAATTTTTTTAGATGTCGTTTAAAATTATATTACATTCATTAAAGTGAAAAGAAATTTTACGACATGTACTTGTAAAGTTGTTTGATATATACAGCTTCAAAACAAATTTGGTTTTGTAAAATAAAAAGTTACTGTAGGCCCTATTGAAATTTTCTCTTTCAGTATTTGACCAAATTTGTTATTGATGCCGACAAAATTTGATTTTGATACCATAAATTAACCTTCCAATACACCTATGTATACTTTTGGTAATACCGGGGGTGGGTTTTGGATGGTGAATGGTTATCGTAAGGTCTGTTATTGAGTCAACTGGCATGGTTTTGATTCCCCTGTTACGTGACTAGGAGTAGTCGCCTGTCCAACCTTGTGGGTTTTCTCCGGGTCCTCCGGTTTCCTCCCACTGCTAAAGACCCCTACGTGCATGCGCAAATTATTGAAATAAAATTGAACCATATGTTAGTCTCAAAAAGACATTAAGTAGGTCTGTAGTCTATATTAAACTTGCGAGAATCTGTCATTTAAAAAAAACAACGGTCCTAGGCCTACGTAGGCCCTGAAATGAAATGAAATGGGGTTTAACGTCCTACTGTTCTGCTCCTGGTTTTGATTCCCCAGTTACGTGACTAGGAGTAGTCGCCTGTCCAACCTTGACGGTTTTTTCCGGGTCCTCCGGTTTCCTCCCACTGCTAAAGACCTCTACGTTCATGCGCAAATTATTGAAATAAAATTGAACCATAGTCTCAAAAAGACATTAAGTAGGTCTGTAGTCTATTTTGAAATTGCAAGAATCTGTCATTTAAAAAAAAAAAGGGTCCTAGGCCTACGTAGGCCCTGAAATGAAATGAAATGGGGTTTAACGTCCTACTGTTCTGCTCCTGGTTTTGATTCCCCAGTTACGTGACTAGGAGTAGTCGCCTGTCCAACCTTGACGGTTTTCTCCGGGTCCTCCGGTTTCCTCCCACTGCTAAAGACCCCTACGCTCATGCGCAAATTATTGAAATAAAATTGAACCATAGTCTCAAAAAGACATTAAGTAGGTCTATAATCTATATTTAAATTGCGAGAATCTGTCATTTAAAAAAAAAACAGTCCTAGGCCTACGTAGGCCCTGAAATGAAATGAAATGGGGTTTAATGTCCTACTGTTCTGCTCCTAACCTGGGCTAATGAAGACGGGCATACGCCATACAGTGTGCTATGAGGGAAATTTTGCCCGGGCAGCGGCGCTACGGCCTACTCTTATATCGAATTCCAACTGTCAAGGGATCTTTCACGTGCACGCCAATGTGTACACGGAACCTCGGTTTTTTGTCCCACCCGAACAACTAGACAGCAGTCAGGCCCTCCATCCTGAATCACTGACAAGGGGAAACCCCGCCGGAAAATCTGAATGAACTTTCTCTGCCAATGCAGGGATCGAAAACCCGACCTCCAGGCTAGCGAGCCATCATCTTACCCACTTAGCCACGTGATCCCCGCGTAGGCCCTACACCTATCATATTTTCAATGACATCGAAATTTCAGAAACTATAATTCATGAAAAGTTAAAATATTGAACAACAATGTTTTGATACAATAACGTCAACTTCAACTTCAACTTTTTATTTGCATATTACGTCCATTAAGAACATATTTGCTTTGGAAATGTTTTGATACAATAATTAACATTTGCTTTGGAAGAAATGTAAAAAGATTACAAAAAATGTTGACATTTAGACATTGCTAAAATTTGCTTATTATTATTATTATTATTTCTGTTTATTAATATTATACTATTATTATTATTACAGCATATTTATAGTGCTCAGAGGAACTTACAGAGTGACAATACAAAAAAACCCCCAAAAAACCCAATGTTAACAGTTGTATTATAAGTTCCATGGTAATAATATACTAAAATACAACAGGGTCAGATAGAATCCTGTTTAAATTAAATATGTGTTTTTAAGTTGTTTTTTTAAATAAATATATAGAGATGTAGGCCTACAACATCTTAAACTAAATTTTTAATTGTAGGTCTAGTTGTAATTAAATTAGCCTATTAGTATTATCAAAATGGCGATCAAGAACCGGTATTTAAAAATATTGTTGACCTATTTATTTTTGTGGGTGTGTGGGTGTTACTGTGACCCAGATGTGAGATAATTAATACATCACAAGTCTCAAGCGAAATAGGCCTATAGCCCAGTTCATGAAAGTTGTTAAGATATTGGAAAACAATGTTTTGATACATAATTCAACATTTTTTTAGGAAATAGATTTAGATCTATAACCAAACACAAACAAAAGAATTTCTGTTAATGTTAATGATACCGGTAGTAAAAAATGATTTTTAACTTTCTAATTTTTTTTTACTCGTATTTTCTAAAGATCGCTAGGATTGGTCAATAATGACGTAAGTGAAATTTAATCCAATCGTAGCCTTCGTCTCATGTTATGGGCGCCATTTTTCTTTTCGCTAACTTGATTGATACTATTTAAGGTAAGTTATTATTAGGTAAGTTCTAATAATTAGGTAAGTTCTCACCTCGGTGGAAGCGGACGTAAAACACAACTAACAAGTAGTAGTAGGTAAGTTCTTTGTTCAATTGATTGCAGTCAATTAGCAGGTGAGACGTGGTCGCGATTTGTCCTCATGGGCATTTAATTGGTGTATAGGTGAAGTCTTTTATTACGTTTATCGTTTTAAGCCTCGTGATGAGTTTGCATATTTTGATTGATGGATGATTGGTGTAAACCTTGTCTACATGATTGCTATAAATTTGATAGCGATGAGTATTCTCTTGTTTTAGACGAGTCTTCCATGCATTTTTAATTTTATCTTTGGTATAATAACTTAATGAATTAGTAAAATACAACTAATTCACCTGCTAATTGACTGCAATCAATTGAAGAAAGAACGTCAATCTGTAATTAAGAATCTAGCAGAGAGGGGAAACATCCTCTGTCTCAAATCACTCCTTTCTCCACAAGCCGACGATAGACACTGGACATCACAACTTGTCTGGGATTTTATTGAGAACATAGGGATGACCAAATATATAAAATAATGAATTTAATCAATTAACAGTAGGGTGGAGCGCAAAAATGTCCTCTAGAAGGAAGCATAAACCGCCCTACACAACTAATATAACTCCAATATAATTAATAAATCAACTTATAAAACCAACCAATTAACAGTAGGATGGAGCGCAAAAATGTCCTCTAGAAGGAAGCGTAAACCGCCTTTACACAACTAACATAACTCCGATAAAATTAATAAATCAACTAATAAAACCAATTAATTAACAGTAGGGTGGAGCGCAAAAATGTCCTCTAGAAGGAAGCGTAAACCTCCCTACATTTATAATAAAACCATTAATCTACCATTAATATAATTCATGAGTAATTTATTATTCTCATTATTACCATTAATATAATTCATGAGTAATTTATTATTCTTATTATTTATCTGCAATTCAGTTAACATTCTATTTTCTTTTATTCTCACTTACTATTTTTTATTATTAGTTTATAATGATTCCCCGCCCCTCCCCCCCCCCCCCCCACGAAGCCTTACTAGACAAAAATAACCATAAAACCACAGTAAGACCAGATACTCTCTTTTCTCTAGCTTTCTTTTTCAGGTGCTGGATTCTTCCTTCAGAGAACCAACAATAAAAGGAATGAATAATAGAAATAAAGATGTAACAACGCCACCATACCGGACAACATACCCAAATGGAAGGAAGAATGGACCAGGACTCATACTCACCAACAAAGCCCCAAGGTAGAGTTGCACCGCCCTGCCATTCTACCGGACAGAACGACCAGACCAACCCAAACGACCCAAAATATATATATATTTGTACATAATATGTCTATGTCTGTGAAAATGTCCGTCTTTGTCCATGTCTGTTCCGTCAAATCGCATGCTTGTGAAACGTCTACTGGCACCTGTTTCGTCCTTTGCACATGTTATCCTACTGTTGTTTATTGTCCTATGTACATATATATGAAAACCTAATTATCCTATTATTTCTCATTAATCACATTGTAAATTAATGCACCTTGTACACACAACACGTCATTGTCTGCGATATCACCTCGGTGGAAGCGGACGTAAAATACAACTAACTCATCATCATCAAGTTATTATAATATTTCTCAAAGTTTTAATTGTTGTAAAGACCAGGTTTTTGTTATAGCTAGCCAATTTAATGATTAGTTACGATTTATCACTAACAACATGTCTAAGTTGCTGAAAATCGCGTAAAAATAAGTTTAGTGTGATTATGACTCATGACTCGCAAACAATTTGGATTTGGTATTATGCATGGCGTCGAAATGCCAATTTCATTGATTGATGAAGTACACTGAATTATTTATAATTTGACGAGTTGTCCCAGAAAATTCTTCAGTTTAATTTGAACTAGATCTATGCAGAGAATTGATTTATTCATTTCATTTTCATGGCATATCATTGCCATTGTGATTGTCGAATTGGGGCGCCATGGGTGTGTGGACGAGTTGACCAATGTCGTGTCAACGACTAACCAGTGTACATGTATTTTGATATTTGTGGACTACATAACTAGACTTTTTGTGTGGACGAGTTAACTGGCATTCATTTTGAATGATTACAGTTGTTTTCGGTAAATTTAAACTGTGGTACACTATATTGGTACTTGAAAAAAGGTGAATTTATTTCGTCTTTATTTTTTTTTTCAGAGGTTGTAAATTAATAATCCACCAGTGCGGTATGTGAAAAATGTGTCTAGACAAGATGGTAAATTGAAGTAAACTTATTCTGTCGCCCTACATGTCTGTTATTCCATACATGGGCCGATGATCTGAAATCCGTTAGTTCAATGGTTCTGGAGGTTGATACATGGTTGGGCGGCCTGAGAATCTGAAAGTCAGATATAGAGATTACCCCTCAGTACTGCTGTCCAATAATCATACGTTCCCTACCTATTTCCCTGTAGTTTAAAGGCAGCTAATGGCCCGTAAATTTAAATCTTTCAACCTTTTATTCCGATGGTCCCAATATTGAATAATTTCTCAAAGTATCATAAAATCTGTCATTGAGTCGACTGGCGTAGTTTCGAATCCCCGGTTGTACGTGGCAAGGAGTAGGGTCGCCTGTCCAACCTCGTGGGTTTTCTGCGGGTCCTCCGGTTTCCTCCCACTGCTAAAGACCCCTACGCGCAAGTGAATTATGTAAATATTTAAAAATTAAACCATATGTTAGTCCCGAAATGACCTAGTTTGTGTCGAGTGGACGTTAAACCCCATTTCTCTCTCTCTCCCTTGTTGCTGGAAAATAAAACATGACACATTCCTAACTCAACATTAACTTCTTAGGGCAAGTAGTTCAATGATTTCACTTGCCTGAAAATGAAACTGATTGCCCAAATGTACAAATTGCATCAATTTTGCTTTGTGGGATAATTAAGTCATACAGGTGGGATTGTTTATGTAGTCTGATAAAAAATCTCCAGTTAACTTTTAATGTCGCTCCCCAGTCCTTTTTATGTGGACGTATATTGTCGTCGCCCCTGTCCATCCGTCCGTCCGTCCACAATTGCTTGTGAACACTTTACAGGTCACAATTCTTATCCAATTTCAACGAAACTTGAAATATAGGTTTATCTCCCCCAAGATCTCGGTTCCTTTCGATATTAATATTAGCATGTATCGGACCGTAACTTCGTGGATTATGGCCCATGATTGTACGTAAAATCGTGTTTTTAGGTTGTGAACACTGTCGAGGTCACAATTTTTATCCGATGTGGTTTAAACTTTAAATGTATGTTTATAACCCACAGATCTCGGTTCCTTTCGATATTCGCGCACATCGGACCATAACTTCCTGTATTATGGTCCCTGATTGTACGAAAAATCACGTGTTTAGCTTGTGGACCCCATAGAGGACACAATTTTTATCAGATTTTAAAAAAATGTGTGAATATATCACCGTTACACCCTAAGGATGGTTGAGTTCGAATTTTGTAAAAATCGGACTGAAACTGACGGACAAAATGGCCGCCCCTCGTTCGCAAATACATGTAATGTCAAAATATTGCGTATCAGGGTTGTGGACTGGAGGTCACAATTTTCATCTGATTTTGATAAAATTTGAAATGCGTGTTTATAACCCACAGATCTCAGTTCCTTTCGATATTCGCGCATATCGAACCATAACTTCCTGAATTATGGCCGAAAAATCACGTTTATAGTTTGTGGTCCCCCTAGAGGTCACAATTATTATCCGATTTAAAAAAATGTTTGAATATATCACCGTTATACTCTAAGGATGGTTGAGTTTGAATTTCGTAAAAATCTAACCAATACTGACAGACAAAATGGCCACGCCTCATTGTCAAATGGCGTAAAAATATGGTATATTAATGTTGTGGACCCTGTAGAGACCTGAAATGCATATTTACAACGCAAAGATCTTTCGATATTCGTGCATATTGGATCATAACTTCCTGAATTATGGCCCTTGATTATATGAAAAGTCGCGTTTTTAGGATGTGATCCCTCAAGATGTCACAATTTTTATCCGATTTAACAAAACGTTTGAATATATCACTGTTACACCCTTATGATGGTTGAGTACGAAGTTTCGTACAAAACTGCCGGACAAAATGGCTGCTCCTCGTACGCAAATATTGTAAATATATGGTATATCAAGGTTTTGGACACTCTGGAGAGAGGACACAAATTTGATCAGATTTTGATGAAACTTGAAATACATGTTTATAACCCAAAGATCTTGGTTCCTTTCAATGTTTATGCATATCGGATCGTAACTTCCTGAATTATGGCCCTTGATTGTACGAAAAATCACTTTTTTTGAGCTTGTTCTCTGTCCATCTCTTGCAAAATGTGGGCAAATCATGCATGGCAACAGCTTGTTAAAAAATGTATGGGGATTGTTCATAAATTGCTGCAATTAAATTGTATCTTTTTCTCACTATACATTTAACTCATACCCTCGTATGTAGAACGGAGGGGCTGACAAGGAAAGCTGTCTAGTCGTTCGGATGGGACGAAAAACCGAGGTCCAGTGTAAACATTGGCGTGCACGTAAAAGATCCCTTGGCAGTTGGAATTCAATATAAGAGTTGGCCGTAGTGCCGCTGTCCGGGCAAAATTTCCCTCATAGCACACTGTATGGCGTATGCCCGCCTTCATACCCTCATCTTTGAGAAGAATCATCCCATCTGATCTAAAAAGATAATTTTATGTTTTCAGATGGTGAGCTTGTGACCCAGATGGATGAATGATGGAAAGACAAATAATAAGTGCTGTATACAGTATTTGGTATAAATCAGTCATTGAAAGTCATTACAGCTGAAGATTTTAATGACGCTCTGTACCGGTACTAACAATGTTGATTACAATCAATGGAAGGTAATCCTTTGTATGCATTTACATTTCAATACAGTCATATATTTCCGTCATCCACTCCTGTGGTCTGTCATCCATATTTGTCTTAGCACAATACAGGCCTTAGTTTTAGTTAATCCCCTTTCCTTCATGGATTATAGCACCTGATTGTATTGAAAAAATCACATTTTGAGCTTGTGAAACCTCCAGGAATCACAGTTTTTATCTGATTTTAAAAAAAAAAGGTTCAACTATATCACCGTTACATCTTAATAACAGTTGAGCTCAAATTTCGTGAAAATCAGACTGAAATTGCCCAACAAAATAGCCAAGGTTTTGGACCCATCTAGAGGTCGCAATTTTGAACTTAAAATGTATGTATATAACCCAAAGATCCCAGATCCTTTCAATATTCGCGCATATTGGGTCGTAACTCCCTGGTTCTCATTTCCTTTCAATATTCATGCATATCAGACCATAACTTATAGATTATGGCCCCTGATCGTATGAAAAATTGCATTTTTAGCTTGTGGACCCTTTAGAGTGACAATTTTTATGATAAAACTTGAAATGTATGTTTATATCCCAAAGATCTCGGTTCATTAGAATATTCAGGCATATCGGACCAAAACTTATGGATTATGGCGACTGATTGTACAAATCACATTATAGAGATCACAATTGTTATCCAATTTTGATGAAACTTAAATCGCTTTTTGGGCTTGTTCTCTGTCCACCTCTTACAAAATGTGGGTGTATCTTGCATGGCATCTGCTTGTTTTCACTGTGTCTCTTAGTGTTTCCATGGGAATCTGGGGGGTTGGATGGCCGACTGGTTAGCTCATGTCTGTCATTGAGTTAACTGGCATGGTTTCGATTCCTCAGTTGTAAGTGATGAGGAGTAGGGTCAACTGTCCAATCTCATGGGTTTTCTCCAGTTTCGAATTATTGAAATAAAATGGAACCATATATTAGTCCCGAAATGACCTAGTTTATATCGAGTGGACGTTAAACCTCATTTCTCTCTCTCTCCGCAGGAATTTAGTATTTTCTAGTAAGATTGGGTGTCTCTACTTTCCATATCCAAACTTACCATATTTTATTCGAAATAATCTCCCTATAATTACTTTTTTCGGAATGCATCTTTAACTGAACATTTTTTTTTGTTTTAATTTCAGGTTAATCAAACCTATGAATGTGGTCGAAAAAGGTGTGGAGTTGATTAATAGCAACATTGAATGTGGGTTGAATATGGTGTGTTAAAGATGCAAGAAAACCACGAAATGTGTAAACTGTAATGGATTATAGCCTGGCGCTATCCAAATTACAAAACACCTGCCCTTGAGTCTATGAATATTTATTTTTTATGGCACCCACATTTTCATGTCGCTGCCTCTGTCCGTCCAGATGTACCTCCGGTGAAATTTGTTTGTGGTCACAATTATCCGATTTTAATGAAATTTAAATGTATATTTATATTCAAATCATCTGGTATCGGATTCATTTTGAACTCTAACCTCATGGATTATGGCCCCTTATATTGTGGAAAAATTGGGTTTTTAGCATGTGGGCCCATCCAGAGGATTTTGGCATAGAATATTACACCTGATTGTACGATCCATTGTTTTTAACTTCTGGATCCTCTAGAATTCTCAGTTTTATATGCCAAAATTTCCCATGCCTGAATTAACCCCTCTTTGCTGAAGATTTGGCTTTCGAGTTCAGAGTTATGCCCCATAGCCAAAAACTTTGAATTTGATAGGAGTTACAGTTTTTAACCGATCCTTTTCAGATTTGGTGTGAAGCATTGGATTCATGAGATCACAAACCCCAACGATATGCAGCGATTCGAAGATAACCTTTTCAAAAAAGCTTGTGAATGTGATGAGGCTACAATGTTTTAATTTGCCGTGTAGCATTGAGACCATGAGAGGACAAATCCAATAAATTTCAGCAATCCACACTTAACCCACTTTTTTGGAAATCATGTGAATGTGATAAGGCTACAATTTTTTAAACAGATTTTTTTCTAATTCTATATGAAACATTGGGACAATGGGTGATTAGCCTTATTTATATTCCTTATTCTCTTTTGCAATATGTGGGTGTATCTTAGATGGCAACCACTTGTTAATTGTATCAATTGTGTTGTAATATTTTGAAAACAATAATAAATAATAAATATCAAAGTGGTGTTTTGTTTCATATTTGGGGTTTTTCAGCACAACTAGGATTATTCAGTGTGCTATGAGGGAAATTTAGCCCAGATGTGGCTTCTCTGAATTGTCCTCTTTTAATTACACAGGTTTCTTTTTTTTACATGGACGACAATTTCTACATGGAACTTTGGCTTTTCAGCCCCATCACTATCACAACCAAACACCATCCTTTGCCAGGCCCTAGATCTACTGATCAGGCGAACGGTGCAGAAAATCCTGGGAGGGTGGAGTAACTTTCATGACTGACACTGGGATCACTGGTTTGTGAGCTAGGCCTCACACTGTTGAAGTCTGCAACCTTACTGTGTAGAAGTGATAATAACAACCAATAAGCACTGGGTTAAAGTGAGAAAAACACCCGATAAGCACTGGGTTGCAGTGAGAAATACACCCGATAAGCACCGGTTTGAAGTGAGAAAAACACTCCAGAAGCACTGGGTTGAAGTGAGAAAAACACCTGATAAGCACTGGGTTAAAGTGAGAAAAACACCCGATAAGCACCGGTTTGAAGTGAGAAAAACACTGCATAAGCCCTGGGTTGAAGTGAGAAAAACACCTGATAACCACTGGGTTGAAGTGAGAAAAGCACCGGTTTGAAGTGAGCAAAACACTCGATAAGCACTTGAGTTAAAGTGAATAAAACACTCAATAAGCGCTGGATTGAAGTGAGCAATACACTCGATAAGCACTGAGTTGAAGTAAGAAAAACACCCGATAAGCACTGAGTTGAAGTGAGAATAACATCCGATAAGCACTTGGTTGAAGTGAACACTTCGTTGAAGCCTAATTTGCATATTTGGCATGGCTTCTTCCTCACTTCAACATCATTTCTGCCTTCTTTATTTCATTGAAAATTTGAAGTGTTGTTACGGAAGTGTGGTAGAAATGAACACTTCAGATATCAAATTTTTCACTTCGAGCACGTCTCGGTTTAGTGTCACCTACACTTCATATGGGTGGCGTCATCACTTCATTTGCGTGAGGGTTATATAGAAATAATTATGTTTTGACTTGCTTAGAAAATATGTAATTGTAACTTTAATGCGCTGCTACGGCGACGGAAAATGGTCTTAGAGCGTGTCAAGGTCGTCATTAGCGTGGTAAACGCGTGATGGAAACGCCAGATATCGTGCTGTGGTGTCCGTGGTCGCCAATGATGACCGAATCATGACGTTTATTTTGAGCATGTTCAAAACAAACGCCAAGGTTCTGCGATCTGACCCGGAAAGCTGTGAGAAGGTGACTTTTTTCATGTTTGTAATTTTTGGGGACATTTTATCCCGCTGTGTTCACGTTTGCCGGCGACCTTGTGCATTTTCTGGTCCTCGTACGGTGGCAGCAGCGCAGTAAAGACGCCACCCCGGTCTGACGGGGGCTTAAAGAATAGAGCAGTAGTTATATCCATATTATATACCATGTGTTGTGTGTTCTGTTATAAATAGTTAATTAATATCTCACTATTACTGTAGTGTAAGAACATACATCTCAAAGATTTGGAATGAACTCGTAAACAAAGAGCACACTCCTCTAACCCATTTTTATCATTGTGGAGGTTTTTTTTATTTTTTTTTTAGTTTGCTGCCGCTTCACTACCGGATTTATGTTTTCTCTTGCAAACCACACCTACTTGCACAGCCTTAGATCAACTCGATCGGTTTAGGATGTGGTTTATACTTGTCAGTGCTGCTGGACTTAGAGCCTGCCAAACATAGTGTATAATCATTCGGGTGTGACGATAAACAACAGAGGTCCTGTGTACTTAAAAGAACCTTGACATTTGGAAATAAGAGTAGGCCGTAGCGCCGCTGTCCGGACAAAAATTCTCTCATAGCACACTGCACGACGTATACAGTAGGATAATAAATTCCATTTCATTTCAGTCGTTTTAGGTCCTGACGATTTTATCTTTTGGGCTGTACTACCTTAAAAGCTAGAAGTATCGCCCCCCCCCCCCCTCTCTCTCTCTCTCTCTCTCTCTCTCTCCTTTTTGCATGACGATTTTGGTGGAAGTTTAGGTGTAGAATCGAAGAAAAGGGTTTTAATACATTTCCGCCAGGGTTTGAAGTAAAAGGATACCAGATTTAATTGGTTACGTTAAAATGTAGGGCAGTTACATGTTTGTGTATCTCAAGTTTTCCTTGACGAACGTCACACGTAATGCTTTTTTGAGCAAGATGTTATTACGTCATGTTGTTCTATCTGTGCTAGAAAGCGTCCAACCCAACAAAAAATAGCGAACAAGTTAGAATTGGTTAGAGAGAAGAGAATTAGCATTAGAGTCAACGAGGAAATTAATGCTGCACTGTGTCCGGGTTAAATATAAAACCAGCGGCTGCCAGGCAGGATACGCCCACATTTTCGAGGGATGGATAGAGAACAGGCTAACAAGAAAATGATTTTTCCTACTATCAAGGGCCATAATTCAGGAAATTACAATTCAATATGCGCGAATATCGAAAGGAACTGAGATCTTTGTGTTATAAACTTACATTTCAAGTTTCAACAAAATCGGATAAAAATTGTGACCTCTATAGGGTCCACAACCTTGATATACCATATTTTTACGCTATTTGAGAACGAACAGCGGCCATTTTGTCTGTCAATTTTGGCCGATTTTCACGAAATTCAAACTCAACCTTCCTTAGGGCGTAACGGTGATATAATAATACGTTTTTTTTAAATCGGATAAAAATTATGACCTTTACAGGGTCCACAAGCTAAAAACGCGATTTTTCGTACAATCAGGGGCCATAATTCAGGAAGTTACGGTCCGATATGCGCGAAGATTGAAAGGAACCGAGATCTTTGGGTTATAAACTTACATTTCAAGTTTCAAAAAAATCGTATAAAAATTGTGACCTCCATAGGGTCCACAACCTTGATATACCATATTTTTACACTATTTGAGAACGAACGGCGGCCATTTTGTCTGTCAATTTTGGGCCGATTTTCACGAAATTCGAACTCAACCTCCCTTAGGGTGTAACGGTGATATAATAATACGGTTTTTTAAATCGGATAAAATTATGACCTCTATAGGGTCCACAAGCTAAAAACGTGATTTTTCGTACAATCAGGGGCCATAATTCAGGAAGTTACAGACAGATATGCGCAAATATCGAAAGGAACCGAGATCTCTGGGTTATCAACTTACATTTCAATTTTCAACAAAATCGGATAAAAATTGTGACCTCTATAGGGTCCACAACCTTGATATACCATATTTTTACGCTATTTGAGAACGAACGGCGGCCATTTTGTCTGTCAATTTTGGGCCGATTTTCACGAAATTCGAACTCAGTCGTCCTTAGGGTGTAACGGTGATATAATAATACGTTTTTTTTTAAATCGGATAAAAATTATGACCTCTATAGGGTCCACAAGATAAAAACGCGATTTTTCGTACAATCAGGGGCCATAATTCAGGAAGTTACGGTCCGATATGCGCGAATATCGAAAGGAACCGAGATCTTTGGGTTATAAACTTATAGTTTTAACAAAATCGGATAAAAATTGTGACCTCTATAGGGTCCACAAGCTAAAAACGTGATTTTTTGTAGAAACAGGGGCCATAATCCATGAAGTTTCGATCCGATACATGCCAATATCGAAAACAGCCGAGATCTTTTGGAGATAAACCTATATTTCAAGTTTCGTCAAAATCGGATAAGAATTGTGACCTGTAGAGGGTCCACAAACAATTGTGGACGGACGGACGGACGTCCGGACGGACAGGAGCGACGGCATAATACGTCCACATGAAAATGTGGGCGTATAAAAATACTAATGTGAACTAACTGGTTAGAGCTAGGATTATACCCAACATGCTAGGCTTCATACCTGGGTCTTTATACGCCCGTCAGACCGGGGTGCCGTCCTTACAGCGCTGCTGCGACCGTACAGCAACCAGAAAATGCACAAAGTCGCCGGCAAACGTAAATATGTCCAACAAAATTACAAATTGGAAAAATGTCGCGTTCTTGCAGGTTTTCAGGTCAGGGGCCTGTTTCACGAAATTTTAACTAAGATAAAATCCAAATTTTAGTAATTTGATTGGATAATATTAGATTTGATTTTAGTGCTTAGCCAATCAAAATTGAAGTATCTACAAAAATTAGGATCTTATCTTTAGTTAAGATTTCGAGAAACAGGGCCCAGATCACCAAACCTTGGCGTTTGTTTATGATTTGAACATGCTCAAAACAAACACCGTGAGTCGAGGATTATTGGCGACTATGGAGACCCCATCACGATATCTGGCGTTTCCAGCATGCGTTTACCACGCTTATGGCGATCTGGGCGCGCTCTGAGGCCATTTTCCGGTCTGCCAGGGGTATAATGAAACTGTAACGCGCGCGATGACAGCAAAAGTAATTCAGAAACATATTGTAACATATTGATTAGTCACCCAAAAGAGACAGAACGATTTACCCAATAACACCCAATACTCACCCAATACTCTCACATTCTACCCCATTATTGTTAAAAACTAACATAATACATGTACTTCAATTATGTAAAACAGATTGAGTTGATTTGTGGTCAATATCTCGCTATTCCTGTTATCTCCCTTGATCACCCAATACTTACAAAACACATACTATCAAAAATCAATCTTTTGAGGTAAAACATTTGGCCAAAATTACCCAAAAATGAGATAAAAGTACAATTATTTGAATAACCACACGTTTGTTAGTTGAAAATAAGTTATTTATTCAATGTTTAGCCGTTCCATTTATCACCGTTACGATAGATGCTTCAGGTTATCGTAACATGTTTTCACATTTTACAGGAATTAACTCATTGATATTGACATAATTGAAGAATTCTGTCAGTACTGGATAATAATAAGATAATATTTGGCTAGTCTTTCAGGACTAAAACGCACACATTTATTAAAATAGATGGCTTATGTTGTTTAATGTTCTAAATTGAACTGCGTAGAAAACTTCAAACGCGTGAGTTGGTAGAAACAAAATTCAGAAACGTGCACATGGCATTATATACATTTAATAAATAGCGAAGGTGTAAAATATAGAATATCAACGAAAAAAGGGATAAAACACTCAGGTTTCTTAAATTAACGACTTGTAATCCTATTTGACATTCTAAATTGAACTGTGTAGAATTCAGAAATGTGTACACAAGTCATTATAATATTCATTTAAAGATACATTATGGAATATTAGATAACGAGTTGGCAGTTCTCACTATAATAGTTAAAAATTAGATAATTTGCTGAAAATTTCATTCAAATTGATCCACTATGAACCGAGAACTAAGCAATTTAAATTTCCGCTTAGCCTCGATCATCATTACTAAAGTCAGTACGATAAACAGCATAGTCTCGATTATCCATTTAATCGTTAAATCGTGAAGGAAAGTTATGCAGTAAATCGGCTCACAACCCACTGAAGATCGCAGGCTAGCGATGCCATCTAGAGTTGATTATGGTCTGGATAGGTTAATTAATGTCTAATTAATAATTTAGATAACATTTCGGGCCTAAAGAAAGACCTGCAATAGACAGATTTAGCCCCTGCATAATGTATGTTTAATAAATATTGTATTCCAAGGTGTAAAATATAAAATAGCGACTTAGAAGAGATAAAACACAAATATTTCTTAAAATGAACGGTTTATAATATGTAAAATAAATGCTGTTTGACATTCTGAACTGTGTAGAATGCTGCAAATCTGCACAATCAATACTTTTGTCTCATGCTGTTTCGTTTGGACAAGTTAGGATTTTTTTATAATATAAATAATATGAAACACTGTTTTAAATAATCCTCAAATAGAAATCACATTATTCTGTCAACAATCAGTTATTATTTTAGATATTGATTTTGGCGCATCATACATCAATATGAACACAATGTATCCTCCTAATCTTCTTTTAACAACAATATGAAGCGGATGTTGACATTTTCGACACCTTTTTTGCTCCATAATACTGTTTATAAATCAATTACATGTTGAAGCTTGACAAATATTCCATTGAATTTGTTCGAAGATAATGTATAATTCCAGAGCTAGTTGACAAGCAGTTAAAACTGTAGTTAAGTTATCGGTAAATTGTTTATAAAATATTTTTACTATAAATATTTTATCATTATTTTTTTATGGCCTGTAAATGTCATTCAGGATTGTAATGAGTGTGACATTCTTTGAAGTAGCTTACTGAATGTTTGAAGCAGATTTCGAGAGCTGATTTAACAATACCATCTTGGATAAGTTCGCTTAAGGGAATGATGCCAAAATTCAGATATGAAATGGGGTTTAACGTCTTACTGTTCTGCTCCGACTGGGCTAATGAAGACGGACATACGCCATACAGTATTATATCAGGGACATTTTGCTAGGACAGCGACGTTAAGGTCTACTCTTATATCAAATTCCAACTGCCAAGGGATCTTTTACGTGCATGCCAATATGTAGACGGGACCTCGGTTTTTCGTACCATCCGAAGGACTAGACAATTGTCTTTGTCAGGCCCTTTGTACTGCACCACTGACAAGAGAAAACCACGCCGGAAAATCTCGGTGAACTCAAAATTCAGCCATGACCGCGGTTTCCTTTTCTAAATATACGCGAGTGTTGATATCACTACAAAAAAAACCCAATACACTGACAATCGGGACAAATAGGCTTGTGCCTGACGTTAACCGGGGAATTAACAATGGGTTATGAACGGGAGGTGGGGGGGGGGGGTGGGGCTTATGTGTACAAGATGACTTTGTAAATTCAAGGTTAAAACTGTGTATACTAGCGGAGAAACCTTTCGCGTGTACTAAGTAAATTCAAAACCCATGGCTATATATATATGAACAGGGAAATTAATATAAGAAGGGACAAAGCCTTAAACGAGCCCCACTTACATTACGCTTCAGTTCGCGTATACACAGTGAGCTTCTAACTGCAAATTCGCTCGGATTGTTCTATAGCAGTCTTCATACATAAGCAAACGACACACAGTGATTGCAACGTTTGGCCTGCACGATAATGGGCACGCAAAAACTGAGGTATACTGCCCAACCCCACCCTCGGCCCCAAGCACCTGTCGCTATCAAATAATCTAACATAACATTATAATTGTTCTTTGACCAATGCCCCACTTTATATTATTTATAATCAAAAACTCATTAGAAGATAGGTGTAACCCGATTTTGCCTGAAAATACAAAAGCTCCTCAGAATTGGGTTAGGTTGAAATGCCTCGTTTGCTAAGACGGCATGGGTCCAATAAAGCATCTTAGCTGGACACTATACACATGCGATATGTGTTATTTATCAGATGCCATATTGACCCAATATCTAGATACATGTCCACATATAAATCTTTGGTGGTAAATTTTAAAAGTATTATAGGAAATTGTTGCTTTAAAACACCTTTAAAGGTTTATAGAACGACAGTGTATCCCTCTTTAAGCGTTTTTCATATTTCAGGATCGGGTGTGGCCGGTATAGTGAATGTCAATTCTGTCGGCATATCAACACTTTCTTTACTGCCACGAACAGTTTCCGTGTTCATCATTGTTCCGAGGGAACTGTTCCGCCTTAAGTTTTTAATCTCGGGTCCGCCCCCAGTTGTGTATTCATAGGTTATACCGCCGAGTATAGAACCCAGCACAGGACCTATCCAATATACCTGCAAATAGACAAAAAACATCATCACTTACACCAATCTGATTAAAATACAGATCTATATTTCGATTGTTTTTTTCTTATACTTTCGATGGCCTACACTACATGAAGATCTGCCAAGTTATAGTGGGAGTTCACGTCAGGGATCGAACGAGCGGCTTTTGACCCTATCACGTCGGACATTGATTAATTAATCAGCATTGATGTTTCTAGTGGTTTACCCACAGTTCCGTGTATCAAAAGGCCAAGAACTCGCCGTAACAGACCGTTTCATTGGCTAATCCCCCAGAAAACATCAATGATAACAACTCATCCAGATCATAGTGTAGTAAAGACAAGTAAAACGAAATTTTGAACTATAAAAACGAAACGAAATAGGATCTGTGTTTTAATCAGATTGCATTTAGACACAACGAATTACGTCACTGAAGGAAATATCGGAATTTTAAAGGGATGTACCCTGCTTAGGACGCAAGGCACTGGACTCTCGACTAGTATTTCCAAGGTTCGAATCCACACCTAGGTCTAGTAGAAAAGCCGTAACCGGATTTTACAAGCCGGATCTACACTTCTCTGTGCTAGCTTTCGCGGGGCTAACAAGGACTGTGTGCCTAGTTCGAATGGAACGCAAAACCGAAGTGTACGCGTGTACGTATATCCATACGCGTAATAAAACCTTTAGCAAATGGAATCTAAAGAACCCCTCCTCGCATTGCACTTATGCCTTATAGCCTCAAAATGACCGAAGTATTGTTGAAGACATTAAAACCCTAGTCAAGCCAATTCCCTATTTTGTGAAATTATTGCAGTTTAATTATATTTTCAGATATTCAAACTAAAACAAGGTATTTGAATTTGCTAGCATGCCTCTGTCAAAAACATTCGATGAAGATCGTCGAAGACAGGGCCCTAGGCTATGCCACTTACGAGACCCCCTCCCTAAATCTGGCACTGGGGCTAGTCCACACCCTCTTTACCCACAACGTCTACGGTTTTAATTACGTTGTCGATTAGGTACTACATTATATAGCTATTATATTAAATACAATAGTCGAACTCCAGTCTATAATTATCTCCTAGGTCACGATATATCTGAATTCAGAAACAGAGAAGAAACGAACATAAAAAAAAATCCCCTGATTAACTTACAAAAGTCATTAAGGTTTCATTGAAATTGGTTTGAAACCGTAAACTAGACTTGTTGTAAATAGGTTATGTCAACGATTCCTGTAAATAATAGATATTTCTTCCAACAATCGACGTGTAATTAAGAAACGGGCATAAAGAAACCCTTTAATGCCCTGGTTAAATCATTCAATTCATTTAATTTAAAACCAATTGCAACTGACGCTGACAGTTCGGGGTGCATTATGTAAGATTTAGATAAAGAGCCGGTCGTTATGGTTATAATGGTTCAAAAATAGACAATGCAAAATGAATATATTGAAAATTTATGTCAAATTAGTCTGAACCAAGTTATGAGTGTTTGAACTTATTACAATGTAGTCTCAATTATCAAGTACCACTGTTACGATAATAAACAGAATCTCGATCATTCATTTTTACATTAAATTATTAAATGCCGATTGTGTTTTAAACACGAGTACTCGATGCTCTAGAAAGTATAATATGGAATTGGCATGTGAATAAATGCCTAATTAATAATTTATGTAATTTTTGAAGCCCAAAGCTAAAGACCTGCAATAGGCAGATTTAGCTCTTATATAAATGCATCTTTAAACTTTTCTTTTGCGGTTATTGATGCAGATTGATAAAAGAAATTTGTGTGGACCTACCCAGTGGTCAGACCATTCGTTACAAACTATAGCTGGTCCAAGAGATCGAGCTGGGTTCATACTTGCTCCGGTAAATTGCCACTGAAAAAAGAGAAGTTATTGAGTTAATGCAAATTCAGATCATAATGAAATGGCGTGGCTATTTATGTCTGGCCATGGTAATTAAGTGGGTAGGACGCTGGCCGAGAAAGTTCATCGGGATTTTCCGAAGTGGTTTCCCCTTGTCAGTGGTGCAGGACTGGCTTGACAAGGACAGGTCCCGAGTATACATTGGCGTGCACGCAAAAGATCACTTGGCAGTTGTAATTCGATATAAGAGTAGGCCATAGAGCCGCTGTCCGGGCAAAATGTCCATCATAGCACACTGTATGGCGTATGCCTGTCTTCATTAGCCCAGTTTCAACAGAACAGTAGGACGTTAAAGACCATTTCATTTCATTCTCGGCAAACCCACGACCTACAGTGCCAGATTCAAAAGGTGCATGAGGAATCTGTTTTAAATGGCCTACAGGCTATAGCTTTACGGTTGTTTATATGCGATTTGACAGTGGTTTAAAACAATCCCGTGGTTTTCATCGAGCTTCGTCAAGTTGCGGCCGTGAACGGTTGATTCCGAACACAAACGAACTGTCAACCAGAAAAGAAGAAAGAAGAAATCGCGAGCGGACACTAGACTTCCTGTTGTGTCAGGCTTGAGATGATCCCAATTGTTAGTTAACATGGAGGAATGCAGCTGGCTGATTAGGGGAATATCAGCAAGTTTTAAAAATAAATATCTAAAACAACTACTCTGCCGTCTCGATAGAGTTCATCCTCATAATACGCCAAGCACAGTGTATAGTGAATTACAACTATGACTTTAAATAGGGTTTTCATCCAAATCAATAGTTACGCATTCCAAGCACGTTTGAAATTTTAATAAAATATCAAAATGTGCGACCTTTTAGACTTAATTAGACGACAATATACCACCACAAACATTAAACAAACCTATGACTGCGGTACAGTTTAAATTTTGTTGCCGAGTATTATGTTGCACTGCGGGCTTCTTATCCGTACAGCAATTCCAGTTTCAGAATGAAATACACGTTATTTTTTTTCTAAACTTATTCGCAGAAACTGGATTGGAGAACAGACAGAAGCCCATAGACCCCCTCTCCATAAAAGTACAAACATAAATATATAATGAAAAGTAAAGTAAAGTAGAGGAACGATTAAATTATAAGATGGCTATATACACTATATACACGATATGTACAAACCACAATCAGAATGTTTATATTTCATAAATTTACATACGGAATTTTCAAAACCTTTGGTAGATGTCGAGGAAGTTATGTACTGCCGAAAAAATTTCTTCAGAATTGTTCCTATCTTCAGTTCCGAATAATAAATTTTGAGAATTTTGATAAAGTTTTGGAAGAGTTTGATATTGTCGCAGATCGTGCATCTGAACGTAAGGGACAAGTTAAAAGAAAATGTTCAGGGTCTTCAAAGGCGTGACCACACTCGCATGTAGGGCTGTCAGAAATATGCCTGAGAAAACGATGTCCGTTTAAATCACTGCAAGAGAGTCGAAGGCGAGAATGGTGAATTTGATTTTTCCTGCTGCCAGAGTAGTATGTTGAAGGTATAATTTGATCAAGGTGGCCGAGTTTAGATTTAAAAGAAGATAAAGTTGGTAAGTTTCTAGTAGAAAGACCGAGTAGATTCCATTCTCGAATTGTAGATGGTAAAAAAGAAGAAGAAAATAGAGAAGTTCTGCAGAAGTATGTTGGGATGTCACTTTGCTTTCGTAGGCGATACGAATTTATACACGTTATATATGGAAACAGAAAACGCGTACCTTTCACTGATATTTTTAGATTGTAAATACTAATTATCTGCTGTTGAATTAATACTGTTTATGGGATGACACAATTATATTAAATACAAGTTACATAGAAGTTTATTTCTCTCGTCTTTAACAAGCAAAGCTTTATATTTGGATTAGAATGCAAACAAAACAACAACCATTTCACAGTTCAATACACCCAGTTGTCAGAACAAATTGATAAAAGTGTTATGAATAATACATTCTTAGATTTCTAGCAAGATTTCTTTTTTTATTTTGCTCGATCAACATGGTTCGCGGTCATTTATCATGACATTACGTGATACGATTCGTGGCAGCAAAACAACAGACTATTAATTATGCATCAAAGTTCCGTTCTTCTTTGATTTCATAAAGAATTTAATATGACATTTTTTTTTGCTTATATGGGTCACTGGAGGTATCAAGGGATTGTGGCCAATCTTGCGTTAATGTTGGTTTTGTAAATGATTGAAAGCCGAATTAATTGCTGCGATGGATTAGTGAGTAACTCAGCTGCGTGGTTAACTAATGCTCAGTTGCAACTATCACGATTCGTGCTACGATGGAAATCGTAGAATTAATCGTTACGATGGAAATTAATTAATCGTGGTGATCCAATCAGGTTTCATCATATATAGTGGTCAGTCGTAGCAATCATGTTGATCGTATCAAAACGTATCCGAACGTATCTGCACGTTCCAGATCGTAGACTCATTAGAGACTTTTGGCAAGCTTAAATTCCTGGTCCGTATCCGTATCGACTTTGCGTGTGACGTCAGCAATGTGTGTGTATTTCTCATACGGGATACGACACACGGACACGACAGCACCTATCGAACAGCTTTCATACGGAAAAAGGCCGTATAACATCGTCGTCTTTTTTGCAACTTTTAGACCCTGAAATCTTGTGCCATAGCGCTTTTATGGATCTATGTGTATCCTAAAACACGAAGGTGTGTATTTGATGTGATTTTAACCATGATAAAGTCTGGAATTTAATCAATATTTTTGATGAGTTTTTCTCGGAATTTTCCTATTTTTCATGTCTGTCTGTCTGCATGCTGGTTGATCTACACGCTAAATATAGGGAGGTGGGACCTTGCAAATATGTAAATGATGTCATTCTATAATAAAGGGGTATAAACTTTCTGAAATGATTCATTAGTGAAACCAAACATTGCTGTCGGGTCGAAGTCGAAGATTTTTTAATGTGATTCGACATAAAATATAATTTGTAGGCTAGGCACTTGACTAGTACTAACTGTAGATAACTGCCATCATGCTGTAATATAACTAATAAAGTAATAATCACAGCTCAGCCACTCATACGTACGCGGCGCGAAAATCTGCCAAAACTCTAAAACTACATTGACGAAACGTATCACGTGACGATACGGATACGTGATACGGATGGGAAAAATTTTCCATTGCCAACAGTCTCTAATATGGACAATCCTATCGTAACCCATCGCACATTAGTGGGAACCTAGCATACCTTGGAGGTCCTGGGATGATACCTATGTTGGGCGAGAAAGTTCCTCGGGATTTTCCGGTGTGGTTTGTCTTCGTCAGCTGGCCCAGTGTCTACTCGTACGGATGGGACACACATGCACATTGATGTTCAACTAAACAAAACAGTTGGAAATGGAAATAAGCTCACTCCAGGCCTATGATCTATCCCCGTCTGCATAAACTCGGTTGGTGCAGAGCAGGAGGACGTTAAACCTTATTTCAACCCATGCCATTTCCCAGCGTACGATTGTCAAGGGACAATGCATCTAAATATTCTCAATATAATTTAATTTATTGTGTCCAATGATCGTTTTTTTTCTACGATTACTAACCCACCCAATGTCATAAAGTTTTATCAAACGTTAATGTCGCACGAACTATGTTTGTTACATTTTTATGATTTATGTTTGTTTTTTCTCCACTACCCTTTCATTGCAACTCATTAAAGATATAAATTTTATAAAATTGTGAGTTGATGATAGGTAGCTATAACACAAAGTCATTGTGAACGACTGTCATGGCAACACCCTTAAATTAGCAATGTGTACTTGGGACCACCATCTTGGGCGACCCATGTTGATTATAGACAGACATACTGGTTCTGGGACAAACATGTTCTATTTATAAATGTATCAAACAACGCCAGTAAATAATTGAATCGTGATTTATGTACTTTAACGCCTTGTCGATTATAACTCAGTCAAAATGTCGCCATTTAAAACAGAACTGTTATTATTTTCCGATATTAAGATGGCCACATAACAATGTTCCATGATGATTAACTGTTTAGAGATAATGGCAAAATCTTGTTTATTATAATCTCAGTATGGAAACTGGTATCTAGCCGACACAGGGGAATTTAAAGTCGGGTTTGGCGATAAAAGGTCATTATATAAGTTAGTTAGTTTTCAGATAAAGAGAGAGAGAGAGAGAGAGAGAGGGAGAGAGAGAGAGAGAGTTTAACGTCCGCTCGACACAAACTAGGTCATTTCGGGACTAACACATGGTGCAATTGTATATCATTAATTCGCTTGCGCGTAGTGGTCTTTAGCGGTGGGAGGAAACCGGAGAGCCCGGAGAAAACGCACGAGGTTGGACAGGCGACCCTACTCCTTGTGACGTACAAGTGGGGAATCGATACCACCACCCCCACCCTCCTTCGGATAAAGAGCCCGATAGTTCTCGCTTAAATAGTTCCAAAACAGATAATGAAAAAGGAATATATTGAAAATTTAACGATTTTCATTGCCACCGTTCTTACGATAATAAACAGTCATGAGTTTGATTTTAGTGTATACACTGAAAAAAAACTTGTGTTGAAACAACACAAACTTGTGTTATTTTCAACACAAGTTAGGTGTCTCTATTTAACAACACAATCTTGTGTTAAATGTTGAAACAACACAAAACTTGTGTTAAATGTTGAAACAACACAAAACTTGTGTTAAATGTTGAAATAACACAAAACTTGTGTGAAAATCTACACATTATTTGTGTTGAAATTTCTGAAATTTGTTTGTGTTGAAATTTCTGAAACTCGTGTTGTTTCGTACAAACTTGTGTAGAACAAAAACTTGTGTTGTATTTTACCAATTTATATCCAGTATAGCAACCTTTCGAATGCAACCCCTTCCATTCGTTCTGTTTAAACTGTGATTATTGATAAATGACATAATAATTTTGTTTGTTAAATTATTATTTATTCAATATATGA